ATGTAGAGAAAGTCTAATTGAACCTTGGTTGTTTGGGAGAGTCTTGGGCTAATGTAGAGAAAGTCTAATTAAACCTTTGTTGTTTGGAAGAGTCTTGGTGTAATGTAGAGAATGTCTAATTAAACCTTAGTTGTTTGGGAGAGACTTGGTGTAAGGTAGAGAGTCTAATTTAACCTTGATTCTTTGGGAGAGTCCTGTAACAGTATTGTATAGTCCATTACCTGACCTCTGGTCACAATTAGTATTTTTTGTCTTGTAACAGTATTGTATAGTCCATTACCTGACCTCTGGTCACAATTAGTATTTTTGTCCTGTAACAGTATTGAATAGTCCATTACCTGACCTCTGGTCACAATTAGTATTTTTGTCCTGTTTTTGGGAGAGTCTTGGTGTAGTAAAGAGAAAGTCTAATTCAACCTTGGTTGTTTGGGAGAGTCTTGGTGTAATGTAGATAAAGGCTAATTGAACATAGGTTGTTTGGAAGAGTCTTGGAGTAATGTAGAGAAAGTCTAATTGAGCCTTGGTTTTTTGCAAACGGCTTGGAGAAATATAGGGAAAGTCTAATTGAACCTTGGTTGTTTTGGACAGTCTTGGTGTAGTGTGGATAAAGGCTAATTGAACATTGGTTGTTTGGGCGAGTCTTGGTGTAGTGTAGATAAATTCTAATTGAACCTTGGTTGTTTTGGGAGAGTCTTGGTGTAATGTAGAGAAAGTCTAATTAAACCTTGGGTGTTTGGGAGAGTCTTGGTGTAACGTATAGAAAGTATAATTGAACCTGATTGCTTGGGAGAGTCTTGATGTAGTGTAAGAAAGTCTAATTGAACATTGGTTGTTTGGTAGAGTCTTGGTTTAATGTAGAAAAAGGATAATTTAACATTGGTTGTTTTGGGAGATTCTTGATATAATGTAGAGAAAGTCTAATTTAACATTGTTTTTTGGGAGAGTCTTGGAGTGATGTAGAGAAAGTCCTTTTCAGGTTTAGCAGTTTCGGTGAGTCCTGAAGTAAGTAAGGTAAGATCATAATAATATATCCTGACTTTTTCACTTTAAATGAAATTCGGTTCCTCCCCATCAACAAAACTTTTCTTTAAATTCACAGAAGTCCTATTTGGAACCATTGATATCTTTCAAAATTCAGTTCTGCTGTTGTACATAATATAAAATCATTGATAAAGTTCTGTTGACGATTCAGCTTTATACACAATAGTCGAAAGTCAGCTCTTTACAGGTCAAATCGTAAACTCATATCGAAAATATATAGAAATGATTCTATGAGTTGGATAAAATAATGCTTATCACGATTCGAACCTATAGCCTCAATCAGAAACAATGAATGGCAAAACTAAAACTACATGATGTTATTCATTACTAATTTAAGCCAATGATGACGTTTGGCAAGCGAATATTGAGTATTTTGTATAACCTGGAAGAACTTTAAACAAGTAACACAATTTTTAGATTCCAACAGGAACGATTGTCATTGAAAAGAATGTACAACTGTTACATTTGACCCATAACAGATTACTCTGCTCGCATCTGAGACAATTGTGCAATGTTGTAAAAAGAGCTCTTTTAAAGAAAAGAAAAAAAGACGAGACAACGTAGAGGCGTTGATGATAATAATATGTATAAACAAAAGACAATCAAATCGCAGTCCTTTCGGTACCACAATGCACTGAAAGCCTAAACACTCTCTAACTGACTCATTTATTTAAAATGTATCAGGTGATAGCCGCTAATATATATATATATATATATATATATATATATATATATATATATATATATATATATATATATATATATATATATATAACCAAATTTGCATCATCCGCAGTAAAAAGAAATTAATTCTTTTGTTGCATAGTCTCGACCTGAATTGAGAAAAATGGGGATCTCCTTGCCACATTTGCGTTCGGGACCAAACTTCACGGGTCATGCATGCAATTCTAAGAAATAAAATGTAGCACTTTCATTTACAATTTATATTCTAATAAATTATCTAATAATAAGTAGTGTTCTTGTGTTGAAATTGAGATTACAAATGCTTTCTTTCTGACTCTGTAAACTACACTATCGAAGTGACCAAATCTTATATACAATATCAAAGTGATCATATATACACATTTTCAAAGTGATCACATCATATATACACATTTTCAAAGTGATCACATCATATATACACTTTCAAAGTGATCACATCATATATACACATTTTCAAAGTGATCACATCATATGTACACATTTTCAAACTGATCACATCATATATACACATTTTCAAAGTGATCACATCATATATACACATTTTCAAAGTGATCACATCATATATACACTTTCAAAGTGATCACATCATATATACACATTTTCAAAGTGATCACATCATATATACACATTTTCAAAGTGATCACATCATATATACACTTTCAAAGTGTTCACATCATATATACACATTTTCAAAGTGATCACATCATATATACACTTTCAAAGTGATCACATCATATATACACATTTTCAAAGTGATCACATCATATATACACTTTCAAAGTGATCACATCATATATACACATTTTCAAAGTGATTACATCATATATACACATTTTCAAACTGATCACATCATATATACACATTTTCAAAGTGATCACATCATATACACATTTTCAAAGTGATCACATCTTATATACACTTTCAAAGTGATCACATCTTATTAACACTGTCTTTATTCTTACAGCTGAAGTTCTATTATTTCTCAACTGTATGCACATGACGGAGAACAATACACAGTCTTTTATGAGCAAATTTTAATTTGGATGACGAAATATATTAAAGTAGCTTATTCAAGTCATTCGCATGATCTTTGATTGTACTCTTTTAGTTTGTTTGTTCTGTTCTTTTCCGGCAACGAAATCTATTCTCGAAACTAAACCGCATAAATTAGCATTTTTTATTGAATCCCGTTAAATCTTATGTCAGTTAATATATTTAACAAAAAATGTGAAATAAATGCAACTTAAGATAAATTAAACCGATAAACATCATCCAGAGTTTAAATGTTTTCCCCTGGAGTTTGAATGAAAAACAAAATGTCTGGGTAGTATGATGAAATAGCAGTTTACAAATAAAACTCATGGATTTACATAATTTTCTCACGTGAATAGAACTTCTAGCAAAGACCTGGCAAATTATTTTCTTGGAGAAGAAATATAATAAGCCTTTCACAATATCTTCAACCATTTCAATTTTTGAGCTAAACTTGTTGGCAGACATGTTGCTCCAAGACCCTGATGTGTTACTCCTTACTCTAATGTGTTATAAAAATACACTGATGTAGTACCCATTACGCTGACGTGTTACACTAATATACTGATGTGTTACTCCTTACTCTGATGTGTTATAACAATGCAATGATGTGTTACCCATTACGCTGACGTGTTACACCAATATACTGATGTGTTACTCCTTACTCTGATGTGTTATAACAATACACTGATGTGTTACCCATTACGCTCACATGTTACATCAATATACTGATGTGTTCCTTACTCTAATGTGTTATAACAATACACTGATGTGTTACCCATTACGCTGATGTGTTACATCAATATACGGATGTGTTATTCCTTACTCTAATGTGTTATAACAACACACTGATGTAGTACCCATTACGCGGACGTGTTACACTAATATAATGATGTGTTACTCCTTACTCTTATGTGTTATAACAATGCAATGATGTGTTACCCATTACGCTGACGTGTTACACCAATATTCTGATGTGTTACTCTAATACTTTCAAGTTTTGCACCATTGCTCTGGTGTGTTACTCCTGTACTATGTATTCCTCCAAACATCTGATGTGCTACTCCAATACGCTGATGCGATACTCCAATATTCTGATGTGATACTCCTATGCTTTGATATATTGCTCTAATAGTTTTGATGTGTTAATCCAATGCTAGGATGTATTCCTCCAATACCCTAATGTTATACTCTAATACTCCTATGTGTTACTCTAATATTTTATGTGTTAATGCAATATTATTATGTGTTGCTCCAATACATTGATGCTACTCTAATATTCTTATGTGTTGCTCCAATACTTTAATGTGTCACTAATACTATGATGTGTTACCCCAATACTCTCATATAGCTGATAGCACATGCGAGACAGCAAGAAAATCATTACGATCAAACAATCTAACCGATTAAACAAGCATTATGCAAGGCTTTAACTAAGGGATTTCTCTGTTGAAAGACATTTTTAACTGATTGGTTTCGCTATTGACAGATATTTATTTACAGCATTTATGCTTTGTTTATTGCAGTCATCTTTTGATCATCTTTCCTGTATTATGTTTCTGATTAATTGCAAAGATTTTCTATTTTCACCTTTTAATGATGTTAAATATTTACAGAATTAATTGACTTACATTTTATATCATCCTCTTTTAATTTAAAGTTAATTATTTCTAGTCATAATCTAATTGATTTAAGTATGTATTCCTGAACTTGGTCATATTATCGCTGTCTCCATTAAATCATCACACAGATATGTATAATGAGAAATCCGAACATCATGCTGAAAACTATTGATACATATAAAAACGGTTTTACTGCTTTTGTTTTGTCAGACAAAGTAATCACTATTTATAATTTGTTTTATAGACGTGAGGGAGACCGGTTTACCTGCTATAGCCTTTCCGTTTTTTCTTATCTTTGTTTTTTAACGCGATTGTGGTTAATCAAACATCGATCAATAAAACAATTCTGAGTTTATTTAGCACATAACGGAAGATATACTTTACACGCTAGCACCGTGAATAAAATCACATTCTCGTATGTATCATTGTTAAATAAGCATAATAAGAATCGCTGAATTTAAACATCCTGGCTGGTATAGTCCGTTGGGTTTGGGTTTGTTGGTTTTATCGACATTTTAACGTAATATTGGCTATATGCAGAGGAAATGGGGGTTAAGTGATGTTTCCAAAAACGCTGACCCAAGTTGATCTGGACGGATATCAAACCCGCGACCTTAGATTACAAGACCGAAGCTCTACCAATTGAACTAGTGCGAACCTGGAATGGTATGTAGCTGCATTTATTCCGAGCTGGAGAGAGTACTTGGATGCTCTGATATATTTAATTGATTTCTGTGTTATAAACAAAATAAAATGTAAAAGAATATAATTGACAATGAACCCGGAAGTTGTCAAGCAATCTATTTAAAACAGGAAAGCAGAAGACGACGGTGTGGGTTGATATTTAAAAAATACTAATCAATGTTGTCGAAAGTAGAAGAAAATTCTATCTTGTGTTCATCGGCGGTTCATTTGCTCATTTTCATCTACTCATTCCATCTACTGATCTATTTTCATCTACCCAGTTACATGCACAGACTGAACGTTGTAGCAGTATTGTTGTCCGCATCACCTCACTTTTGTAGTCTTTCGAACAAAATCATTGTAGAAGACCTTTTAAGGATGTTGGAGAGTATCCTTTGTTAGATTTGACTTCTGGCGAATATATGTTTTGGGCAAGTTTTTATCCTAATTGTAGAAGAGTACTCTCATTGTTACACGTCGTTTACATTCTTACAAAAAGGTAAAAATAATAAATATTATACCCTTAAATTGAAATTAATAACTATGAGATCTAAATTGCTTATCTTTTAGAGTCTCACGCAACTGGATTTACTTCAGCATTCTTTGCTGAACGCTAACTGTTGGGCATACACAACACTGCATCCACTGAGCTGTTTCGATGACACCGAAAGCAGTGCTATAACCGCCAAAAGATGCTGTGCAGGTAGATACAGGTTGTTATTGGTAGAACATATATAAAGCATTAGAGATAACTATTTTTATTTGCATTTAAATACGCATGATTGGTTCAAATATTTTCAGCTTATCAATTAAAATTGTAAATAATATATAATTAGAACTTTTCAGAAATATTTTACAGGATTTACATGGTAAAATCATGGACGACCCATTTAAATGACTAACAACGTCCAGAGGGTGAAGTCACAGATGTCGCAATTCGGATAAAATTGACATTATCCATACGGTAAAATAATGGACTTCATATTTCAGAATTAATATCTAATTACGTGTCTTTCCACATTGGATGAACAAAGATTTTAAACTCGTAAAAGTGTCCTAATATCCTCATCCCAATATTTTAAAAATAAGAATTTTCAGATTCTTCAATATTATTTTGATAAGTTTTAAAAGAAGAGCCTATGATGTGATAGTGCATCTTTAAATTACAAAATACTTTGGATATATATCTTTATCACTTTTCTTAAAGAAATCTAACATGAAACAATTTATATTTTAATTGTACACACACACATATATATATATATATATATATATATATATATATATATATATATATATATATATATATATATATATATATATATATATATATATAATATTTTTATTATCAATACAAGTCTCTATTTAAAGAAACATTATTTTCAATGAGCACATTTTATTTCCAGTAATAAATATAATAAATTCCAGCCTAAATAAAATACTGGACAGAACATAAAGATGGATTTCTGCTCAAGTTGTCATCGCAGGAATAAGTAATTTTTCCCGTCAATAAGATTTTTAGTTCCTCTATCTGACCTAGGTCACAATTTGTATTTCAAAACAAATTTATTAACTAATTGAAAATCACATTCTAGAAGGTTTAAAATGTTTGCAAGATAAACTCTTAGTTATAATTAGGTCTTTTATTAAAATTGAAAATTATCCTTGGCTCAGACGAAGATAAATATATTTATTTATATTAATTGTGATTCTAATATTAAACCCAGTCAAATAGATAATATTAGCTATGTATTAACTATTTACAGAATTGTAATCAATGATTTTAGTGAGGTACACCATGATCTTGATTTTGGACAAGGGCCGTTACAAAATGACAATCTTACATAACGCATAGCACAGCATACAGTAAAATAAAAATAACAAAATAAAAATAGTTTAAACAAACATTTACGTAATTTGTATATTTATTTTAAATATATATTTCGTCACTTTGGCAATGCAAACTTATTTCTTTTAATGGATTTCTAGTACATTTTTACAAGATAGAACTATCTCAGGTACATTGACTTAATATGATTGGATCAGAATACATTATAAAAGCCACTGTAATCAGTGATTTGGTTTGTCTTTTTGATTTGCTTGCTTGTTTTCTTTTATGTCTGAAAGCGATCTTTGAGAATTAAAACGAAATATATTACTTTCCTGGAGGGCTGTCTGATTAATTGGCAAGCTTCTCGTTTGATGAGTTTCCGAAATGTACTTCTAATCAGATTTCATGTATAGGATTGAGTTATTCAAGGTTGTATGGCATTTTCATCAAAAAGTTCAATGTGCTAATGTTAGATACAGTCTACAATTGTCACGGTCATTTCAATCAAATGACCACTTCAGTACCCAAACAATATATCAAATTACTTACTGTACTGGACAGTCTTTAACATGGAATATTTGTATATACAAAAGGTACACTTACCACACTTGTACTCGCAACACTTTTTGCTGGCGACGGTTTGACGTCTTCGGGTGTCCTAACTAAATTTGATAACGGCGACTTACTCTCAGTGACGTTCTTCCAAGTTCCGGCAGAAGCGTGCGGTCTCCTTGTCGATTGTCGTCGGCCCGATCCTCGAGCCTTTCGAACAATCGTTCCCTTCCTGGTAAACATTGGCATAATAAAATTCCGTGAGGATTCAAGACAATAACATTCTAGAGTCTAAACTGAAATTATGGTAGGAAAACCATAGCACATGCCGTGTAATACAATTCATTGGTTCTAGGACTCTCAAGATAAATCAAATGGTTACGAGGTTCTAACAAAATTTTGCTTTAGAACATACTTTTAGTCATCAAAGGCTATGTACAAAATGATAACAAAACCAGCATATCAGAAATAATCTCAAAGCTGAGCCATTATTGTGAAGAACTCATCTTAAAATCAGGAACGCCTTGTGTGAAGATAAAGTCCATACAGATCATATAATGAATGGAATTTGTAGACTCTTTCAGAATCATCTTCAGGACTTTTGGTAACTTCAACTTAAGCCTCAAAGAGAATTGACCACGTGTTTAAACATATTTCTATGTAGTAGCTGACACATTATTGCACGTTTCTTTATCTCGATGAAGATTGGACTCCAACGTTAGTCTCATCATGAATATGCCTCATGATGAATACAGGTATGCCATTTGATTGTCTTAATCGTGTCATATTGTCGTCACTAAGATACCAAAGAATACGTTACGGAGTTCGTTCTGTGTGTTTCACAAAATTAACTTAGTAATGTCCTTATTTCTGTTAAACTCACACATATGCGACAGGTATTATATTTATCAAATGCTTTTATTCCTCCTCACAGGTGAGCTTTAGAAAGCAACGGTGATCGACACAATTTATCAATCAACCTAATAGCAGCAGTCAATAAACAGGATTAGCCCGACAATCTTTTAATCATATGCCTTGTGTCTGCTGCCTTTATTCCTGCGGCTGTCGTCACTTGGCAGAGAGTTGTATCGTTTAAATGAGGAAGCTGTGACATGAGGAGCTCAGGAATAATACGTAAACCGATCGATATACCACTTTGATGCCGTCTAGAAGGGATGCGCTGCACGTCGCCTATCTAATACAGATACCCGCTTTGAAGAATCTCTTTCGTTTAAACGCGATTGTCTGTTTGTAAGAAAATATGTATATTTAAACATAAGATTAAGCAGCACCTATAAAGCAAATTAGTTATTACGCCTGCCACTATATCATTCATTTTATTCAACGGAATGTGCGCGACATGTTATTCACTCCGTCTACGAAACATTATTTCTGCATAACATTTATCTTAAAAATATATGATCACCTTACATTGCAAATACACACATTAAGGGAATATACTCGAACATGTCAAAATATATGATCAGATAACCTAGCAAAGATATGCTGCTAAAACAATATGGACTTAAATTAAATACGAGTCAAAAGCAACAACCAACAAATCTATTAAAACTTAAACAAATAATTTATTAACTTAGTATACAAAGTAGCAATATAGAAAAGAATATTATTATTAATTAAATTCTAAATAGTCCTAACAGGTATATATCAAGTCAAAATGTATAGAATTCCAGCTGAATTCCCATGGTGTTCCAAAATAAATTCTAATATTGAATGTGTTCGTGTGTATGTAATCTCCAATAAACTATAGAACCAACTGCCTCGAATGTGGCGACGTGACAACAGTGAGGATGTAAAACAATAATATAATCCAAACATTATTTGAATGAATTCACAATAATTCCAACAACAAAGAAGAACTATTATTCTGAGACTTATTAAGCTCTTTGTAATTCCAGTGAATAATAATTTGAATCCGAATTTGAATTTGAATGACAAAACGAATCAACCCAAATTGAAAACTGAATACAAAAGAAAGACTGATTCTAATTCGGTTTTTAAGGCAGGAATGAGTAACATTTTCAGGAATATAACATTGATTTTAAAATTAACATACAATAGCAGACCGGGTTGAAGTTCAGTTTAATATCTATAACATAAAATTTGTCAACAAATGTAGGAAATTTCCAAGTGGAAAACCAAAGACATGGACTCAGATTGAAAGAAATATATTTAGCATTTTTAATAATGATCTGAAAATTTAATATATATTCATAGATATTTATTAGATATGTATTATTATTACATCTATACATATCAACCGCTCCGGTGGCCTAGTGGTTAGAGTGTCCGTCTCGGATGCTGGAGGTAGTGAGTTGTTTCCCCGGTCGAGTCATACCAAAGACTTACAAAAATGGTACTTACAGCTGCCTCGCTTGGCGCTCAGCATTAACAGGTTAATGTTAGGACTGATCGGCCTGGTGTCAGGATAATGTGACTGTGTGGGACATCATACTAACTGCCCAGTGCTAGATATCCCTATAAACTGCCACACTGTAGACATCGTAGTGATATGACCGAATAAAAACTCTAAATCACACACACACACACACACACACACACACAC